CCCGCCGCGCCACGTCACGCCGCGCCGGTTGGGCCCCACGGCGCGACGCGGTGCGGCTCGGCGCGGCCCGGGGCACGGCCGTCCGGGTCCTCTGTGAGTCAGTGCAGTTTGGCGTGCACGCCAGCCGAGCCGCCGGTGCGAGCGCCGCTCGAGCCGCCCGCCCGCGTCCCCGCGAGCACCGCGACGACGACGCGCGCCCCGGGGCCGCCGTCATGGCGCCATGAAGGAGCCGCTGGTGGCCGCGGGCCCCGCCGCCGCGCTGTCCGAGGCCCTGGCCGAGACCACCGCCGCCGCCGTCGGGCACCCCGCCGGCGCCCCCGCGGCCCCGCCGGCGGCCTGCGGGCCCAACGGGCTGAAGGCGGCCGGGCCCGGGTCTCCGCCGACGGCCGCGCCGAGGCTGAGCAGGTCCCCGTCGCGGCTGGCCAAGCCGGCGTCCCCGACGGCGCATCTCAACGGCGCGGGTGCGGGTGCCTCGGCCCTGGACTGCGTATCCAAACGGTGTGTGTGTGTGTGAGAGTGTGCGCGTGAGGTAGGCGCAGGGAGGGAGGGGGGGCGTGCGAGCGGGTGTGAGCCCCCACGGCGTCGAGGATGATAATGTAACGTGTTATTGTGCGGGACCCGAGCGAGCGAGCGGCAAAAGCTTTCTTCCCCTCTGGAGCGCCGTACTGTAAAGCGCGCCGCAGCAGCGTTAGCGAAACGACGAGTGAGCCGCAGTGTCGGGTATCAACATCACGGCACGCGCGACTGATGGGAGAGAGGCACGGCCATTGCCTTCGCGTCGTCGCAAAGAGATTTCAGGATGGCGCTGAAAGCTATCAAAGCCGCAGATAAAATGTCAGGTGTGGCAGTGCTGCTCGCACCGAAACGAGACGGCCCAGGGGAGGGCCATGGGCTAGGGCAGTTCAGTGCCGGCCGGGCCCTCGCGTAGGTCCATCCCCCGCGTCCCGCGCCCCCGCGCCCCGCAGCCGGCTGTGCTTCGCCGTGCGCCTCCCAGGCCGCGCCGCCCGCCCGGCCGCTTGCGGTTGGCACTGCCATTGCCCTCTACTTCCCCCCTCCCTTTTTCCCCCTTTTCTTTCTCATCCTTCGCCTCCTTTTGGGTCCTCGTTAAACGTGCCTTAGAGAATGTTATGCTGGCGATGAAGCTGTTTCAACTTCAACCTATGCAGTGCAAATTGTACTCATGATGGGGTGTTCAACTAACTTCTCCACCGAACAGACTCCTTTTGAAATTGAATGAAGGAACTAAAATTGATAGTGTCATTAAGTTAACTGTGACAATTTAATTGACAAATTTTATAGAACTGAGAAGTGCTGTTTTTATTTCAATATTTTAACACGTTCAGTTCAGAGAAGGAGGAAGGGCGTGTGCCATCATGACCCTGTGGATGGTCATTGGTCATGTATGTTATGTGACTGACTCGACGAGTTAAATCTTATTGATTCGTCAGTTAAGTCATAAGACATAAGTCTGAAGAAAAAAAATGCGTGCAATTAAAGTAACTGATTGGATTGTTACTGTATGATTTTATTTCTTTCTTTTTTTTCACTTTTAATTCCGATAATCCTCTCGCAACGCTCTCGCTCGGTGGCTCGCACTGGTTTCGAGTTTCCCATTGCCTGGCGGCTGCAAGCGAGATGGACTCATCCGATCGATTGCTTCAATCTCCTCGGCTGCAGGCGCTGCAGGTGGGCAAGGCGAGTCATGCGCGCGCCTACATCTCCGTTACACATCCCCCCATCCCCCCTCCCTTTTCTGATTTTTTTCTGCCACCTGTCGAACAAACTTTTTAGCACGCCAATCCGCTCTGATGAAGCCGTCGAGTGGGCTTAAGGTGTCCGGGCCGGGTTTTTCCCAGATTTATTCATCAAAGTACGTCGTCGTGAGCTCGGCGCCTGCGAAACTCGGGTTAGGCCGCCCCGCAGTGCACGTGTGCACTGCAGACGAGATGTTGCCTACCTACCAGGCGTTATGTGAGCTTGCACAGGCTGGCAGGTTCGTCGTAACGCGTGACGGCAATGACTATAACGTACTTTCTGAATGATAACTAATTTATGTCTCTGTCATTTTTATAAATCTGAGATTTGAGTGTCTGAGGAAATAGGGTAGATCGAGAAAAACTTTTGTTTTTGTTTTCACAAATTTTGGTGTTGTGCCTTAATTAAGAGGAAGCTCGTCGAGTAAGTGTATCATTTAGATACAGTGTCGTCGCAGGTTCTCTGTAGTCGACGGAGATAGTCATCAGAGAGGTACAATGACACAAAGCCGGAAATGGTTATGCATGCCCCTACAAAACGTTAACAAACGTTAAAACGTTCACCGTTTTGAACGCCCCGTTCCGATGCCACGCACGCCGACGCACTTGGCCGGCCGCGTTATTCCTCTCGCCTTAATTCCGAGCCCGTTAATGAGTGCGTACGCGTATGTTTATCTCTGAACACACGCGGCCCGCGCGGTCCCGTTCAGAGACCCACCGCCGCAGCGCTCTACTTGTCGGCCCGACGGGCGGCGGGGAGATGTCCGAGCCCCCCCCCCCCCCCC